TCTTGTGATTGTTACTAAAGACTCTTCCAAAGTAACTTCCAACAGCAAAATATGGCAGCAGGATGACATTAGCCAACATTGTCAATAATCATGCAAGGATTTGAAGAATGCATCTACACTGTAAAATTTGTGCAGTTTGATGCATCTGCACTGTGGAATAGATGCAGTTCTACCCCAGTTTAGCTGCCATGGCTCCATTCTACAGGATGCTGGGATCTGTGGTTTGATGAGGCATCAACACATTTCGGTGCAGGAGGCTCAGGGCTTTGTCAAACCCAAGTCCACATGATTCCACAACACTGAGCCGCCACAGTTCGAGTGGTGCTAAACCAATGTAGACGGGCCCTGAGATCTTCTTCACTCATTACGATGTGAGATTAATGGGAAGTGGAACAAATTGAACAAACTCAATGGCCTTAAGGAAGAGAGGCGTTTGCCCCTCGGCCTCAGGCGGCGAAGGCTTTGGGGTGGCCTCAATCAGGAAATAGGTGCCAGGACTAAAATCTGGGTGTGAATGACTCCCCCAAATCCCCTTCCACCCCAAGGCAGGTCCTGAAATGCCTCTTAAGCATTTCCAATCCAATCCAATAAGCCTTTATTGGCATCTACATAGCAAAAAGGTATAAAATACAGTATAAACCATAGAAAAGGGAACTTCAACTTTGCTACACATTCAGTTTATAGACTTCGTTCAGGAATCTTGCCACTGAAAGGCACCCATTAAAATCGTGATAATTTAGAAGCATCATTACTTTGTCTGGGTCACGGTGGTTTTTTAAGGAATCTATAACTTGTGGTAGTAAGCTAGATCTTGGTTCCTGGTCAAGTGGGCAGTGCAGAAGATGCGGGATGGAATCCAGCTGTCTTGTGCTACAGGGACAAAGGCTCTTATTGCTTGGTAGACCGTGAAGTCTTCCTCTATGGAGCGGAGAGGGCATAATATTAAATGTGGCCAGTATGTAGGCTCTCCTGGAAGAGGGGTTGGTGAGAGCTGCAATAGAAAAGGCTGGGTTTCCCTGTATGAATGGAATTGCCATGTTCATAGGTGAACAGGATTTATTGCCCAAGCACAACAATAGGTTAGAATCCCTTACTAGCAGCCTCTTTTTAAGAAGGGTAAAGATCCGGGTGAAAGTTAGCAAGTTCAAGAAGTCGCTATGATAGCCCAATTCTTTCAGCTTTACTAGAACTGTTGAGCACCATTTTGAGTGATGGGAGTTTGCTCAAGGTGAGTTGGGTCAGAAAATTGCTGGGGCTTTGGTAGTGGATAGATAACACAAATTTGATGAAGTTTAGCCAGATAGTGGCCTCTATAGAGCACTGGCCAGATTCTAGGCATAGAACTGCATACGGGACACAGTTTGGGACACCAAATAATTCGTAAAGGAATTTCGAGTGGAAGGCTCTGATGGCACTGTTCTTAGGGAGTAACCAAATGGACACCCCATAGAGTAGTTGTGACATCGCCTCTGCTTGAAAAACTTGCAGTGCTGGGGGGATATATTGGTTGCCCCTGGAATGGAAAGACCTCCTGATAGCACTGTCGCTTGATTGGGCCCAGGCCAGTGTATATTTTAAGTGAGTGGACCATGACAGGTTGTTACTGAACCAAAGTCCTAGGTATTTGAAATGTTTTGCTTGCTCGATATAATGGCCCTTTATCTTCCAGAATTGTTTTTTATTGCTTTTCCCAAAAACCAGGATCTTAGTTTTATCATAATTCACCTGCAGATCATTCGTCTCACAGAAGTCAATAAATTTGTGCAGTAGTCTTTTGAAACCCACATGGGAGAGGGATAGTAGGGCTGCATCATCCGCAGATAGCAAGAGGGAAACATGCTTTGGGCCAATCTTGGGGCTGTGCTTGGGCCAGGGCTATAGGGAGATCATGCAAGAAGATGTTGAAGAGAAGTGGGGCTAGGACGAACCCTTGTTTGACTCCCTTTTGAACCTGCATCAGGTTTGACAGGAATCTCCTGTGGTCTTTTACCTGGCATAGGTTTTGGTTGTGCATTTTCTTAATCCAAAAGAGAAGTTTGGGTTGCTAGTTTCTCCCAAAGCTTTTCTCTGTTCACAGAGTCAAATGCCCCCTTGAGGTCCAAGAAGGCCACGTTTAGTTTGTTAGGACCATTTTTAGAGTATTTGTGGACCTGATCTAATGTTGGAAAATCCTACTTGCTCGGGGCCAATTATGTTGTTTTGGTTGACCCATGACTCTAGCCTAGTCAGGAGAAGCTTGGCATACAACTTCCCTATTATAGAAAGCAGGCTTTCTTTGCATTCTTTAGCACAGAATGCAGCAGACCTTGTAAATCCGGGTTTTAGCCTGCCACTTTTGGACCTTCCACACAGCCCTATATCCCAGAATATCAAGGCAGGAAATCCCACATTATCTTAAGTCTGGACTTAGATAACCCAGTTAGAAGTAGATATTGTGGGATTTTCCGCCTTAATATTCTGGGATATAGGGCTGGGTGGAAGGGCCCTAAGAAGGGGACTGCTATGTTTGCCAACATGATTCCCCATCCATTCAAAACTGTGATCAATGGTTTAGCACAGCTGGTAAATCATCAGCAATTATAAGATCTACCAACCAAAAGATTGCAAGTTCGAAGCCCCGGGTTGGCGTGAGTGGCCAACTGTCAGCCGTAGCTCATTGTTTACCTAAGCAATTCAAAAACAGCTTTAGCTGTGATTATAGAAATTAGGTACTGCTAAAAAAAAGTGGGGGAGGTGCTTTACGACATCATAAAGAAGGAAGATCAGAAAATGCTGGGCAACCAAAAGGAAGGAGGAAGTCCTGACGGCTCTTCGTCATAGAGGATAGAGCAACAGCATCCCTTGGACTCAAGCCCAACCTTCCATGGCACCTCCTTCTGTTCTGTTCTGTCTTTCTGTGTATTGTCTATACAAAACGGCATTGAATGTTTGCCGTGTATGTGTAATGTGATCCGCCCTGAGTCCCCTTCGGGGTGAGAAAGGCGGAATATAAAGTGTTGTTGTTATTATTATTATTATTATTATTATTATTATTATTTGTGGAAGGGGCCCCAGATACTCTTTCCCCTCTGAAACATGGAGACCTGCTCCTGCCCCACTTCTTCCCCTGAAAGGAAGGCCAGAGGCAGCTCTTATCAATGGCTTGCTTGCTTGCTTCCTTTCTGCAGGAAAAAATGGCCGCTGCTTTCAGGGGAAGATGGGGAACAATCCCAGGATCTTCCAGGCCTGAAGAGAGGCTGACAGGAACCCCCGGGCCCTGAATAGGGAGGAATGGAGGCCTTTCCTGCCCACATTGCCTTCCATGGCCTTGAAGGCCTTCTCACAGCCCAGTCCTCCTTGTCTGCAGCAACCTTTCAGCCATCCTGAGGAGATGTTGGTACTATTTGGGAGTTTTCACGCTTCTCCATTGTGGAGGCCTTTAAGAGAAGAGTCTATCCCGGTTTTAAGGAAGCGCCCGGGGCCTCTCTTGGGCCCCATCTGGGGGCTCTTAGTTCTGCCTCGGTCCCTTCAGGAGGGACAAAATGGTGGCCGACTGGAGATGGGATTCCCAGCCAAAGCTCCTTCCTTGAGGGAGCACAAAGAATAACGTCTACATTTATATTTCAAAGGCATCTACTTTGTTTTAAGTTGCATTGTGATGCTTTATTTGTTATCTGTCTTGAGCAAAAATCAAGGAAATAAATACATAAGCAAACAAATCCCTCAAATGAGTGTTTTTTCAGACTTTGATCAGGAATATATGGAAACGGTGACCCAAAACTCCCCTTTTCGAGTGTGAAGCAGACTCCTCCTGTTTTCAGTCCCGAGAATAAGACCTGGATTTGGGACAGAAAGGAGCATGAAGGGAACATTCATGGCGGTTCTTGAAGAAGGGTCTTAAACGGGTGAATGCAGACTTCTCTGGTATGAATAATATATCTAATAACATAGTGACTAAGGGGGCATCTACACTGGGCAGTTGGTGCCATTTGGCACCACTTCAACTGCCGTGGCTCAGTGCCTTGGAACCCTGGGAGTTGTAGTTTCGTCAGAGCCCCGCAAAGAGTGCTGGTGCCTTGACAAATTACATCTCCCAAGATCCCATTGCATTGAGCCGTGGGAAGTAAAGGGGAATCAAACAGGCTCCATTCTGTGCTGTAAAGTCGGCCTTAGACAGCAGTCAGCATCCGAAGGGACTTTCCTCCCAGTTCAAAAGGCGTCCTTTGCCTCTTAAGCGCCATTTCGCTCTTCTCCGTCTCCCTTTGGGAATGAGCTGCCTCCTGACTTTGGCCAAGAAGGTCCCGTTGAGGCTGATCCTCAAAGAATCTCAGGCCTGAAGTTTCTGTCAGGAAAAATTGCAAAGGGATCGGGTTGACAGCAAAGTGGATGCTGTGTACTGTGAAGTGTCAAAAACCGCTTATCTCAAAATTATTATTATTAAAATCAAGCATTGAGGGTTGTGGCGGCATTTAGAAATGAACCCAGTCATTATTTCATCGTTAGCAATGGGATCTCCCCCCCTCCCCCAGGAGTCCCATTTTTGCCTCTTTAAACCTCCTTGGGGTGCTTTGTGTTTTTTTCTTTTGGGATCTCAGTTCAGTTTGCTCAGGAACTCGGCTCTTTTCAAAAGCAAGGCCTAAATCACCCTTCTTTAGTAAGGTCACTTCCAGATTTGTTGGACTGTGACTCCCATCATCCAGGACGCCATGGCGGTTGAGGACAATGGGAGTTGTGATCGACCCATCAGAAGTTATGGTCTTGTGTATGGGGCCTATGTTTGTGGTGTATCACAACGACATGAACACCTGAAGACAAACCCCCTTGGCAGCCTCTGGCCTTGGGAACAACCAGGGAGCCTCCAGAGCCGGAGGGAGAGACCTTTCCTCCCAGAAGAGGAGCCAAGGGGGTCTCTGCCTGGGGCTCCTGGGGTCCCTGTGGCCCCTGAATCCACCCTCCAAGGTGAAGGGCAGGAAAAGGGAAGGCGCACAGGGCCACTCTCCCTCCCTCCCTCCCTCCCAAGAGCATTTCCTGGCTGTTGGTTGTTTTCCTTTGAAAAGGTTCCATTCCTGCCCAGGTTCCAAGCCCGGAGGTGTTTACCTGGTTGCCATGGAGACCGAGGGTTCCAAAGGGCCAGGAGTCGGTTGGCCCTGCCATTGCCTTCCTGGGCGCCATCATGGGCAGAGGGCTCTCCAGGCAGGTCCGGCCGGAGCCGCCCCCCACAGATGCCCCTCCGACCCAGGCCCCTCCGCGCGCTCCCCTTGGGACGGCCCTGGTGACATGGCTCAGGGTAAGGGCCACGCTCCCTCGGGGAACCCTCCCCTCCCGCTCCCTTTGGGGCCCCGGGGCCAGCCCTGCTCTGGCAGGGAGGGCCCCCTTCATTGCCTCCCTCCACTTCTGCAGAATGCCTGGACAAGGCGCCCACATTTCCGCCACGTGGGCCCCGAAAACACAGAGGAGGTTCCTGTGGCTCTTCCAAGGTAAGCCTCTGGGGCCCCTTCCCCTCCCTCACCCCCCCCCAAAGGGAAGCCCTGGTCCAAGAAAGGAGGGGTCCCCAGAGGAGGAGGGGGGCTGCTTGCTTGCCTTTGGGTCCCAATTCAACTGTCAGGGAGTGCCTTTGGGGGTCCAGGTCCCAAGGGAGGGTGAGAGGAGGGGATTGTGAGGGACACTTGCATGTGGGAGGTGATTGGCCAGTAAGGGGTAGGAGGGAGGGGCTCCTGCAAAGGGTATATGCAAAGTGTGACATGTGGGGATTGTGAGTTAATACAGTTTGCATGTGGGAGGAGATTGGCTGGGGAGGGAGAGGAGGGGCTACTGGGAAGGATATATGCAAAGTGGGACATGTGGGGATTGTGAGTTAATACAGTTTGCATGTGGGAGGTGATTGGCTGGGGAGGGAGAGAGACAGGAGGGAGGGGCCCCTGGGAGGGGGGTATATGCAAATTGTGGCAAGAGAGGATTGTGAGTTTAACGCAATTTGCATGTAGGAGGTGATTGGCTGGGGAGGGAGAGAGACAGGAGGGAGGGGCCCCTGGGAGGGGGGTATATGCAAATTGTGGCAAGAGGGGATTGTGAGTGTAACGCAATTTGCATGTGGGAGGTGATTGGCTAGGGGAGGGAGAGAGACAGGAGGGAGGGGCCCCTGGGAGGGGGGTATATGCAAATTGTGGCAAGAGAGGATTGTGAGTTTAACGCAATTTGCATGTAGGAGGTGATTGGCTGGGGAGGGAGAGAGACAGGAGGGAGGGGCCTCTGGTAGGGAGGGATATATGCAAATTGTGGCAAGAGGGGATTGTGAGTTTAAGGGAATTTGCATGTGGGAGTTGATTGGCCGGGGGAGAGAGAGGAGGGTGGGGCCCTTGGAAGGGAGGGGTTATATGCAAATCGTGGTAAGTGGGTTCTCTGAGTTTAAGTGAATTTGCATATGAGAGGTGATTGGCTGGTCGAGGGCAGAGGGAGGAGCCCTTGGGAGACGTATTTCGGAACATAATAGTTGTCACCATGCAATAGTTGCACCCCGCTTTTTGGCTCCCAAACTTAGCATTTTGGCTTTTCC